CCCCATGCATGAAACAAACAGCCTGTCACCTTCCACTCCCAAAACACAGCAGCCAAGGAAAAGGAAGGACCAAGGAGAAGACTATGGGATTCATGGAGTGCTGCAGAAGAGCCTGAAGGCAGCAGCTTGAAAAGCACCAAGGAACAAATTAGCAGAGGAGAAGAACACATAATCCACCTGTCAGGTCAAAGCAAATGCATTTCTTCCCACCCCTTGTACTCAGGCAACAATGATGAAAGAAACTTGAGAATCAGTTTCTCAAAAGCATCTTTTTTTGACTACTTTCCACAATGGGATGGCAATTTGGATAGAGGGGGAAAAAAAACTCTTTCAGACTGGCAGCCTGCGTGGGGGCAGAAAAACCCCGATTTGGGCAGGGGTGGCGCTATGAATAGGAACCTCTGGATATGTCTAGTGGTTTTATGTCTCTAGCTCTCAACTGCTCTGCACAAGACTGCAGCCCTTGAGCTGCTTTGGCTTTCCCTTCATACACAACACCCCAAATCTGGCATTTTCAGGGTGTGTGTTCCTATGGTGGAAGGAGCTGGAAAAAGGCATGGTCATTGGAGCATCCCTCCCTTAGGCACAGCTACCCTAAAAGAAAAAATACCCAAATCTTTTGGAACCATTTCTCTTTTGTAAGTATTTAGCTCATCTTAGCTAGTCTTTCTTCATAGCTATCTTGCCCAAAAGAACCCTGATCCAGCAGGCCATGGACTGTAGGAACCCACAGGCAGATCCCTTTCCCAGATTCCAGTTTCATTTGCTTGAGGATTCATAAGAAAATAACAAAGCATCCCTCCAGAAAGGAAGCACTTAAACATTTGATTTATTTAAGCCATAGACTTTCCCCAAACTATAAAGAAAAAAAGGTAAAACATGACAAACAATTAATTTTTATGTTGATAATTGTAGCACATCTCCAGGTGAGAAAACATTTCTGCCAGGGTAACAAATCTCCTGCCTACAGTACAAAGGTAGGCAAACACCTAAGTCTCTCAAAAAGATACTTTACATTGTAAAGTTTTACAATTAACTAGGAACATGAGGGACATAACACTTGGAATTACGGAAAATTGCTCTGTTTAACTACTTGAGGGATGATTTTCAGTCCCAAAGTGGTCCCCAGGCATAAACACATGCCCCTCCAAACTTGACACAAACACCTATGGGCAGGCTCTATGCTTTTCCAGAAGCCTGGGTTGTGGCCTGTGTAGCCAAGGCTGGAAATGCTCCCAGGATTTCCATGTCACACCTGGATTTGCCTGGAAGCATGCACCCATTTCTGTGCCAGTCAGAAACGGTGTCGCCCAGCAATATTTTAAAAAATTAAAAGCAACATTTTCTCCCTCACTTTTGATTTTCCAGTTGAGGTGTCCTCCTAAAAACAGGGTAAAAAAAAATTGAAGAAACAAAGCCCAAGACCTACTACTAACTAACAAGTGTGCCAAAACACCTGCTTTGTGTGTTTTGTAAAAAGAACACATTTTCAGTAGACCTGATTACTTTCCTAAGAATCTAAATTTATATGTGTAAATATGCATCCAGTAGGGGCAGATGCTTCTGAGCCCACACCTCGCAGGTAAAAGATCAGAGGAGGAGTGGCACAGAGGGATCCAAAGGTGCTCAAGAGAGGTCCAAGCTGATGTGTTTGGGCAGGATTATTTGAACCCAAAGTGCTCTGCAGCTGCCCCAAGCCTGGAGTTCACAGAAACAAAATGAGCTCCCCCTCCTGCCTCATTTTCTGCCCTCTCTGCTCAAGGGAGAATCACACCATGCAAATGATGGCAGAGAAATGGTGAGACCTGCACCAGGGCTCATTCCCTCCTCTGGCTGATGGAACTTAAACCCAGCTGTTCTGGGATTTAGGGAGCAAAACCCACCTTTGGCACTTGCTGTTCCACTCCCTGCCACATCTGCACAGCAGGAATATCGCTGTGTTCTGTGTCACACCCAAAGCAGCAGCCCTGGGAGTGCTGCTGGAACCCAGAACAGCCTCCCCTTCTCAGACACCAACCTGACCAGTCAGCCCCACACTCCTCCTAGTTCAAAAGGCCAAAGGTGAGGACAATTCCTCTGGAGAATGAGACCTGGCTCTGGGAGTCTCCTTGTGATGAAGGTTCACTCACAGGTATCCCCAAAGCCACTAAACACAAGTTTGTTTATATCAAAGAGGACACAAGGCATCACTTACCAGCTAACCCTCTCTGTTTGGACCCAAGCAACCCCTTCCTGGATGAATGACCCATAGTCCTGTGTCCCAGCAGTGGACTAAAAGACTCCCATTCTTTTCCTTGGATAGATTAGACAGCACTTGGAGCAACCTGGTCTACTGAAGGTTGTCCCTACTCATGGCAGGGGCGTGAAATGAGATGAACTTTAAGGTCCTTTTCAAGCAAAACCATTCTGAGATTCTATGAATCTGTGAAGAGTCAACCCTGCATCATAAATATATAAATTTTTTTTTTAATTTAAAGGCATTAAAAAAAAAGATGAATTTTTGCCTGAATTAGGAGCTTGAAACAGAATAGCACATGAGGTATGGCAATAGCTGAACTATGCAGCACATGTGTTCCTGGCTCACAAATGCTACCAAAGACGTTTGACACATGCTATTAAATTATGCCATAATCATCTCAACACCAGAAAAAGGGGGAAATTACACAGGACAACGGAGCTATTTGGTGGCTCTACCGTTCACCAGCTATGCTGACAACCTAAGTGCTATAAAAATGTTTTTTAGCTCCTTGTAGCAAGGTCCCCTCCAAACTACTATTTACGGTAGTTGTTAATTTATTTTTCTCAAGAGGCCAGGAAAACACACAAATAAGTGTTTGAAGACGTACACACCAGGGAAACAGAGCAGAGAAAGGGCAAGAAGAAAAAATCAGAGAGAACCAGACACAGGATACGCTAATATATGACTGCAAAGCCCAGAATTCCCAAGGCAGACTAAATTTTCACAATTTTTGGGCCCCAAAATCGCATAAGCTCTGCCTGAGCTGCCCTTGCCAGAGACTTTTGGGGACTGCATCAATACAAATCCAAAGGATTTTCAAGGCCAGCTCAACACGGCGCATGAAGGAGCGGGGACAAAACTCCCCAGCTTGAGGGACCTTGTGGCGGCACCCACGGCAAAACAGACACTTGGCCTTCATCCCCTTCGTCCCCCGGGGTCTGAAGCTTTGGAAAACAAACATTTCGGGGCCATGGCTGTGGAAGGAGGAGGCAGGGCACTTCAGAGATGCACATTCCAGTATTTGAGACACTTCCCTGTGATGCAGCTCGTTCGAGCAGGTGGGAACAATCCAGCGCTCAAATCACACTCCGTAAGCACTGCACAGGATCTCCTTCGCATTTCTGGGCCAGGAGAGGCAAAAGGCTGCCTTTGCCCACCTGATCCAGCCCCACCAGCAGCTCAACTCACACTTCTGGACCTGTGTTTGTGCCCAGCTGTTTGAGCATTGGCACCAAACTCCCCAAAAGCCAGCGCCGCACCCAGGCCAGGCTGGGCGGGAGAGCCGCTCCCTGCTCCGGCCTGTCAGAACTCAAAATGTCCCTCAGACATTTTCAGAGGTTCCAGGCCTTGGTCAGAAGCATTTGAGACCCTGGCAAGCAGCTGGAAACAGCTGTGATTTTGAGTTTGAGCCATGGAATGAGTTACCAACTTTGAAGGTGCAACAAGCGGTCACAAAGGGTTAGATGGTATAGTAGGAGACCCCCGAGGCACCGTAAGGGACCCTTCAGCTCTTCCATGTGTTCATTTCTCTTTCCTCACCTGCCTGAACTCGCCAGCTCCATAGGAAATCCTCTTCCTCCCGCTCCTGCTGAAGGATGTTCCTTCCAAGCCGTGGATTCAGGAGTGCAGGACACACACAAATCCTTCTGGGGGATCTGGAACAAGACATACATCCCTGGAAGGCATGACTGCAGGGTGAAAAAGGGATGGGAAGGTTTTTTTCCTCTCAGAAGGTCAATGAAGGTCTCCAAAACCAGAGAGTTGGGAGGCAGTGCCAGCTTGCTGCACTCCTCACATCCCCCTTCTCAGCTCCACGTGGATTTGCACCTGCTCTGAAGGCGGCAATCGTCTGGAAAGGAACTTGGGAATCTTCTTTATCTTCTTTGGTTTCTGGCTTGTTCTCCCCAGCACCACAGCAGTACCTCTGAGGTGGTTGAAAAGGAAAAGAGAGAAACAGAAAAAGCACACCCCCCCCCCCCAAAAAAAAAAAAACACCAAAAAACACCTAATTGGAATTTCAAATTTAACAGAAATATTTACTACATTCTCAGGTCTGTAATCCGCTGCTGCTGAGCAAGCCCAGTGAATTCCCCTAAGGAAGAGTGTCCGACAGGAACAGGGATTGTCTACTGGATTCCCCGGCCCTGCTCTCCCTGCTGGGGCTGCTCTCTCCCTGGCACAGACCTCTTTTTTTCAATAACATGACTATGTTTTAATTATTACCACAACAGCAAAACATCAGCTTTTGGGTTTTTTTTTCCCCCCATAAGAGTTTTCTGTTAAAAAAAAGATGGAACCAATACCTTTTGTCCTCTGAGCGGATGCAGTGGCAGCAAGACCAGCACATTCTCTCCTCCCTTACCTGCCCGGGCTGGAGCAGCACCTGCAAAGGCTCTGATTCCATTAGCTGAGATGAACTGAGCACAAATCAGGTGGATTCTGTCTGTGCACAATCAGACAGTCTGGCTGTAAGTGATGGGGAGCACAGGACACCCCTGTTCACCTGCCCCTGCCGGGACCCAGCTGCGAGCAGCTGCCCCGGAGGAGCCATCAGGAGGGACACCCCGGGGCACAATTTGGGGGGGCACAGCAAAGGGAGCACCCACATCCCTTCAGCTCTGCTCCACCCCATCACCAACACCGCCCTGGCCAAGCCCAGCCCGACAGAAACACACGGAGCAGCCAGTTTTGCAGCGCTCGTTTTTTTTCCTTCAGGAGAAGAGAAGAAGGCACAGACAAGGCAAGAGATCATGCAATCAGGTTATAAACTGAAACACGACTGTTTTATTCCAGCGTCCCCATCCATCCTCGTACGTGGAGCACGCACGTCCAGCCAGGGGCTGCCCAGAAGGATGACAAAGGCAAAGAACCACGATCCCAATGGAAACAGCCATTGGTACCACAATCCAACGTGGAGAGGAAGTTAATTATTGCTGGCAGACGCTGGCAGGGCTCAGGTCCTGAGGGGCTCTGCCAACCTGAGCCCACCTGGGCTCCTATTAAGGCTTCACCGGTGAGGTTCAATGCTACCAGTGCCTGTACATACAGCAACAGTGCTAAACACCCACTACAAACTCCATGTGCACAGCTACTCCACAGAGCACACCACAACGGAGAAAAAATTCCACACCAGGCAACCTGGGTGGGAGAAACACTCCCCAAGGGACAAGCAGCTGTAACAGCAATTATTGCCACATCGCCCTGCACACTGTAAAAAAAACAAAAAAAAAACAAACCAACAACAAAAAACCTTGCTCCCTGCCTCTGCAAATGTATTGAGAGTGATAAAATAAATCAGCAGCAAAAACTGTTGGACAAAACTGGTGGGCACACCCGGGGGCCACAGGCATCCCTATCCTGTGGGGATACCTGCGGGGGGACTCCTCCAGGGAGCGGGAATGCCCCGGCACCGGGGCAGAGGTATTTTAGAGCAGGCATCGAATCCGTACTTGGATGGAGAGGAAGAGACTCGCTCCTCCAGCTGTCCAGGGAAGAACGGGAGAGACCTCCAGGAGCAGGCTGCAAGCAGCCACCCTCGGCCAGCCTGCCACTCTGACAAAATATATGCACAAATCTATTATTGCCAACAAAGGGTTGGAAGACCACCTTGCACCACAGATAAGGCGACAGAGTTTGCAGGGCTTGGTCTCTGGGTTTAATTTGGGGAAGGGAAGAGCTGGCTTCCGAGAGAAGGGAGAGGGACAGACCTGGATATATGGTGCCTGAGGTATGGTCGGAAGAAAAAGTGCAGCAAGAAAGAGATGCAAGAAAAACAAACAAAACCGCTTGGCTCCGAACATCTCTCTCGCGTGAAAATGATTGTCAAAGGAGTCACTAGTGAAAATTAGGTGAGAAAATACGTTCGCTGGAGAGGTACCTTTCTACTTCTTCCAACAACAGAACGCTAACCCGAGGTCCATCCAGGCAATTCTCTTTGGCAAGCCCTAGCCGCCCGCCCCGGGGAAGAGAAGACCTCGAGCCCGTCACGGCCACCCAGGGGCTCGCCTGTGTCCGTCTGCCGAGGGAAACACGGGTGTCCCACGGGGTCAGCCCCAGAGCTGCCCACCGCAGCATCCCCACCGCGCCGCTAGCCAAAGCGGAACTTCAGCCGGTACTTGACAGGACCGACGTTCTTCCGAGGTGGGGATGGGGCTGCCTTGGGCTTGGGCGGCTTCTTCTCGGGGAGGGCGACGGTGAAGGCGAGCTCGGGGGGCTGCGGCTGCCAGAAGCGGGGCAAGAAGTGCGTGGAGACGTGCTGGGGCCGGGCGCGGGGGCTGCAGCCACGCTTGGCTTTGCCCCGCTTGTTGAGGGCCACGTACCACTGGCGGCCCGAGCGGGGGCTGCGGTGCACGGCCGAGGCGTAGGTGTTGTAGCTGTTCTCCTGGAAGCGCTCACGGAAATGGCAGTCCACCGTGAAGCGGGCCTGCGGGGACAGAGGGGACACAGCTCGCTCGCAAGGGCCGGGTGGCAGCTGTCGCCCACCCCCAGGGCTTGCCGATGGGCCGCCTCCCAAAAGCCGGCCCTAAGGAGCGGCTGCAAACGCGGGGCACCGACACCGAAGGTGCCAGGCACCTGACTGGTTGGAAAACCTGCAGCGCAGATCCTTCAGCAGCTGCTTGCCACCAGGGTTTGGGCTTTCCTGGGAAGGAAAAGGCTTGGGCTGCCCCAGCAGTGCCCTTCCCGTCTCTTCAAAAAGCGTTTCAAAACCAAAGAGCAGAGCCTAGCGCTCCACCTGTGCGGGTCTCAGATTCAGTCAAAGAAAGAAACTGAGAGTTTCTAGCCAGGCAGAAGCCTGGGAAAGAGCTGGAAAAGAATGTAAATAATTCTTTATCTCTCTTGTTCTCACACTGTTTATAGTTAAGTTCTATCACTGTGTGTCAAGCACTCTGCACCAATGTTGTAAATTGCTTTCACTTTAGGACCAATGGATTTAACCTTTGCAAACCTCTGTATAAAACAGCAGTGTATTTTGAATAAATCGGAGTTTTACTCTCACAGCCTTCTGAATCAGAGTCTTCTCATTCCCATCCTCTCTCGACAGCGACACACCTGTGTGCCCACAGCCTCGGAATCCCCATCTGTAGCTTCCGGCAGCCCCTCCAAAATGCTCTGCCATACTTGAACCTAATGGTGGGCATGGTACTTGGTGCCCTAAAAGCTTCCCCAACTCCATTTCCCAGCAACACCTCCACGGAGGAGATGCTGAGCTCTCCAGCTCCAAAACCAGCCACCCAGAACGAGACCCAACCCCCAGCAGGGCTTTGTAACCAGAAGAAAAACGCTCAAAACCCCACATTTAACCCAAAAAGTTGAATCTTGCAGCACGAGTGACAGAGCCCACAACCTGTCACGCACATTTTGCCTCATCGCACTTGGATTTAGGTCTCCTTGAGTTTGCTGATTCCGAGGGACGTCACCTCTGTGACTCATTTCTGCCCTCCCTGTCTTTCATGCACCCTCTTGGCTCCTTCCTTCCCCAGCAAGGCTTTGCTGACCCTTGGTGCTCCCTGAAGCCCAAGTGCTCAGGCAGGACATACTATGTGCCTGGGAAGGCCCTGCCCTTCCCTGGGAAGTGCATCAACAGCTACCTCACCATGACCCTGCCACGATGCCCACGTCCCAGCCTCTCAGCCCATCACTGCACCACTCCAGCCTGGAAAAGCCATTTTTTCCCCCTGCATAGGGCAGGGGGTGGCAGCCACAGCACGTGGCTGGCATCAGACTTGCCCTGCAGAGCTCCAGAGCAGCCCTGAAGTCAATTGAATTTCAAAATCCAGTTGAGCAGAGATTCGCCGTGGTGAGGAATGTGGCTTTGTGGCAGCTCCTGGGAAAGGAGAATTACCTGGGCAAATCTGTCCCACCGGGGTCCGTGCCGGACAGGCACAACACCCCTCCCACCCGCTCCGTGCTAAAAATGGACAAACAGGAGAGCGAGGATTTACCACCGAGGAAAAAGCCATCTGTGCACACAACTGATAATTGCCGGGATAACTGTCATTTTCTGAAGCTGGTGCCTCTAAAAATGAACCGCTCGGTAATTTAATTAAGCTGGCATTAAAAAAAAAAAAAAAGGAAAGAAGGAGGAGGAGGAGGAGGAGGAGAGCGTCTGTAAAACACTGAGAGTGAGTTTTGAAGGAGCCCAAATTCCTGCAGGAATGAGTTTTGTCTGCGGTTCAGCGCGAAGCCCCCGGCCTGACTCCCATATCAAAGCGCTGCCCTGAGTGACGGGCGCAGGACGTGCTTTGTACTGCTCGGAACTCATTAGGCCATGAAATAACCTCGATCCTGCCAGTGCAGGAAAGAACAACAGATGCTGGGTTTGCATTATTGGCATTGTTTAGTCCAGCAATCTTTAGATATTTGGGTCAAGTTTCTACAAATTTGCAGCTCTCACCCGAGCGGGGCATCGTGTGTCCTCACCCCTGCCCTGACCCTCCTGACTGAGGTCCCTCTCTGGCCCTGCCCTTTGTGTGTCAACAATTAACCGTGCACCAACGAGGCTTGATTTAATTTCTGCCTGTGCCAGGGCATAAATCAAGGCTTCAGCTCAGATAAGAGGCCCATTGTACGCCAGAGGGGAAGGCTCTGGAGGGTCCACGCTCTGCCTGCTTCCCTCTCCTCTCCATCCTTTTCCTCTCCTTCTGCTCTGCCCCTTTGCTCTCGCCTCATGTTTTTTCCTCCATGGAGCCAATCCCCTTTTCACCTAGATCCCATTCATGCTCCTACTTGATTTCTTAAAAGAAGCAGTGACGTGCTCACCCTTTAAGCGTCAGTAGGCTGCAGGAGCAACACACCAAAAAGACTTAAGGGAGAGAGAGGTGAGTTCATAAATCCCCCTGGAAGCGATCTGCAGCCTCGGGGTGTGCAAGCACATCCCTGACATCCACCCTGGGACCCGGAGGTTTGTCTTGGAATTGCGGGGTGGGCAACTGCCTTTTCCCTTTCCCCAACTGGGGGGTCTCTGGGAACCATCCTCAGGGACAAGCTGCTGCCTTACAAGTGTCCTTTGTGGGGTGGCACATGTACACGCACCTTCCAAAAGCACCACCTTCGGTGTAAGCACAGGAGCTCACTGTGTTTGCTTAAATGGTCTCCGAGCTGACAACCAGAAACGGGGAAGCAACATCCCAAGGCTGCAACAAGCAGCAAAATCAGCTTATGGATTCATTCAACACAGAAAGCTGGAAAAAGGCTATTGAGACCTGCAGGAAACCTCAGCCTCAAGGAACGCATCCTGCAGAGAAAAGTTTACCCGGATTTTTCCACCCCAGCTGCAACACAGCCGCGGCAGCCTGGACCTCACCTGCCCGAGCTTCTCTTGCCGGGAGACATTTGGCTAAACCCTTCTGTGCGATCTGCAGCAGAAGCAGCTAAAAATAACCCTGAGCAGGCTCTGCTGATGCTGCACACCAAAAAGGCCAGCTCTGCACGGCCACAAGCCCTCGGTGGGAAGGTGGGCTCGGGGGGCTGCAGCCCCACTTGTCCCCTCTCTATCTGCCCACACGCAGAGGTGCCACAAAGCCTTTAATACCCAACACGTACTGGTAAGGGTTAGGGGGGGTTTACTTACACTTGCATGGAGTTTTCCTTTTTTTGACATCGCTAAAAATTTGTTGCTGAAAACTCCTCGTATTCCTACAATCCCCTGAGACACAGCAAATATTTCCAAAATACCTAGGATGACAGAAATCCCAAAATAAATCACAGTTCTTTTCACATCGGTGTGACAGAGAAAAAATAAATACGACTTAGTCTGACAGGTTTGCATTTCCTCTCCCACGTCCCTGCTTCTCAGCTGCCTGGCTCCACCCAGCTCCTCCTCCATCCCTCTGCCTCACACGGCAGCCTCCATCCACTCTGGGATGGATACAGGCTGGTGGCTGGGACTTGTGTGGATTTTTTTTTTTTTTTAAGTTCCATTTTGGGGCACAATTCCTGGCTGGGCTGTGGTAGAATGAGTTAACCCCTGGAGAAAACACCTACATCAGCCTGCTGGGATTGGAGCTCATCGCACAGACGCAGAACTTGGGAAATCAGTGTCCCACAAGCCAGCTGGGACTGGAGGCACCACTGATGCTCCCTCACACCCTGTCCTCTCAGCAGGGCTTGGGGCACGGAAATAATGTGACTTTTCTGAGCCTGACGTGGGCTCTGGGCCCTGATGGGGCATGCAGGACCTGCAACTCATCCAACAGAAGAACTGCAGCCTCCGAGCATCCCTCAGCAGCAGCACCTCACCTGCCCAGGTGCTGCGGGCTAACTCGGGCACATCCCCACATCCCCCAAGCCCTGCCATTTGGGGGGCAGCAATCCCCAGTGTACCCCTTGCACCCCGGGGAGCTGCAGCCCCGGGGGCTCTGTGGCCCAAAACCTCCTGCCCTTTGCGGGGTGGCCCTGCTGCCGTGGCAGACACGCTGTTTATTGGGGTTGCCCGGGGTGAAACCCTATTTCCCAGAGGCCAAAGCTCAGGTTTCCCTGCCAAAAGGCAACTTCTTCCTCCTGAGGGCCTCCTCAGTGCCACAGCCTGGCACAACCCCCTGTCACCAGCGCACGTCCCCAGCCAGGGCTGGCTCTGCTCCGACGTGCAGAGCTGGTGTCGCTGTGGCCTTTCCGGGGGGGATATCTCAGGTTAAGGAGGAAGGAAATGCACATAATTCAGGTCTCTGCAGGACAGCTGTAGCACCAAACTTCTGCCAGCCTTTCCAAGCCTGTGTCTCCTAAAACAGCCTTGGTGTAGGGGGCCCCTTTTCCTATCCATCCTCTAAACCCCTCCAGGCCACGTGCCTGCTGTGCCCATGAAACCCCAAGCAGAGCTCCAGCATTCCTGCTCTCAGCACAGTCTGGGCCCCAAATCCTTTGGTCCCAGGCAGATGTGGGGGCTGCTGCGTGAGCGCTCCCAACAGCTGAGCCTGCCAGGGCCACCTCGGGCCGAGCCCTTGGGCTCCTGAAGGGATTTTTCATCCCCACCTGCCATTTCATTCCCTCTAGCAGGATATCATGGCAACTCCGACCAGAGGATAAGCCGTGAGTTAGCACAGCTTTCTCTCGGGGGAACGTCAGCCTCAGTCCTATTTTTAAACTGAATATATCCTATCACTGCACCGGGAGAATGAGAAAGCAGAGAGAGGGATGGAAAAGTCCCACAGGGAAAGGACCAAAAAGGGGCAGCATCTCCTCCCCAAGGTGCCTGTCAAGGGGCTGCGGTGGGAGCGCAGACCCACGGGCTCACACCATCCCCACGGGCTCGCTTCTTGGGGCCGGGCGAGCCCCAGGTGGCACATCCCGGTGGCAGACAGGCTCCCCCGGCCCCCCAAACGCCGGGGCTGTGCCAGTCCCCGCGGCGGTGGGAAGGGCACAAGGACAGGGGATGCTCAGCCCCGCTCGCCCCCCCCAGACCTCCCGTTCCCCACTCACTGAGCGGACTCGCGTCGTGGGCGCCGTCCACGCGGCCGTCGGGGTGCAGCTGGAGGTGGAAGCCGATGCCCACCCGGCAGTACAGCCGGCCCCGCCGCCGATCCGGGCGGCTCCGCGGGAAGCGGCTCGGCCCCGCCGCCGCCGCCGGGGAGGAGGAAGAGGAGGAGGAGGAGGAGGAGGAAGACGCGGGGGCGTTGCGGCCCCGCTGCGCCCCGCCGGGCACCTGCTCTCGCCGGGCGCGGGCGGGCAGGGCGAGGAGGAGGAGGAGGAGGAGGAAGGACGGGCTCATGCTGCCGGCGGGCGGGAGGAGGGAGGGAGGGCGCCGCATCCCGCTCCGCTCCGAGCCCTGGAGGGGGGGACCGAGCACGGGGGGAGCCGGGCCGCCCCTCCCCGCTATTTATAACCGGGCGGCGGCCCCGCACCTGTGCCCGGCCCCATGCCCACCAACCCTCCCCACCACCGTGCCCGCGGCAGATGCGGGGCTCGGGGTGCATCTATCTGAAAATTAACTTGTCCTCCTCGCCGGGGCTGCAGGACCCTGGGGACAGGCTCGGGTTGCAGCCCCCCGCCTGGGGTTCGGGGGGTGACACGGCAGCTGCACGCCCAGCCCAGCCTCGGGCAGGGGGCTCGAACCGCAAAGCTGCTCCCCCTCAGTCACGGAGCCACACTCAGCCCTTGGGGATAACGGGGGTGTCTCCATCAAGACCCCCCAATGGCATCTCACGGCCTGCAGGGAAGTGGCAGTGCCCTTCTCAGTCCACGACATCCTCCTCGTTTCCCGGGCAGGGGGTACACGGCCCCCAGCCTCCCGCCACCATCAGGGTGACCCCCAGCATCAGCGGCCGTGCTTGTCCCAAAACACAAAGACGGCGACCCCACAGCACAGCCGTGCAGGAGGAGAGCCCTCAGCGACAGGCCATCCATCCCCCCGGCGTGACTCCGTGTGGATTATGCTTTCCTCAGCTCCTAGAGCCGCTCCAGGTCCTCAAAGCCACTGGGGAAACCTCACCTCCACCAAAGCTCAAACACGCCCTGGCCATCCTGCAGCCCCAAGCCCGGCCCTCTGTGCCCTCAGCACTCCTGCCAGCCGGGGTTGTCCCCTAAAGCCACCTAGGAGCTGCCCCTCGGCCATCCCAGGGCTCAGCCAGGGATCAGGTTCGGCAGGAAGGAGGCAGAGCCGGTGGCACGCCGGAGGGTGACCTTCGCCTCCCGAGGAAGCTGAAGGTCGGGGGCACAGAGAGGGACACGCACTTGAGGAGCTGTATCCAGCCTGGTTGACACCTGGCACAGGCTGGTGTGAGCAGATGATCTCACAGCATTGCTGCCATTTCAGACCATTTCTCAGCACATATCCATATCCCCCGAGCTATATGCACACGCGTTATATATAGACATGTACACATAGACAGCCCTATATATAGATGCACATACCTGGAGGAAGGTCAGGGCACTCAGACCTTGTTTACTTCTCCCAGCTGGAGTGGTTAGCCTGGCTAAAGCCGTGACTTCCACTTACCCACCTCCTCTTGAATTACACACACGTGATGATTCCGAATCCACGAGGAGGATGAGGAGCAAACACATCTCAAGTGGTGTTTGCTTGAGATTTCCTGTACCAGCACAGCTGAGGGAGGCATGGCCAACTTGCTGGAAGAGGATCTTGGGCATCTTGGTGTAAAGGCTGCAGCTGGTACGGGATCACAGCAGCAAAATCCCTGTTCTCCATCTGGGGCAGCAGACCAGAAACCACTTCTGCCTCTGGGAGTTAAAGATGAATGAAAAAACATTCACAGTCACCATCCTGGGGGTGGCCGGGCACAGCAGCATCCCAGGAGCAGAAAGGAGGCACCTGCATGCCCAGGCCACACCCTTAGAAAACTTCTGTGCCCAGAGGTTCACCAGCAAGTCCAGCCTTGCCAGCTTTGACACTATTGTCCACCCTCACAGTTTCCAACAGCGATTCTGGCACCACCCTGGCTGCCAGGCATCCTCTGCTCACCCACACTGCTGTTATTCCCCTCCTGTGAAGAATTCCCAAACAGCTCAAACTTCCAAGGGGGGTGGCCACCAAGAAGGCAACACCAGCCAGGTGGGCTTGCCCAGGCTGGTCCTCAGGACACACTTTTGGACAGAATCCCACTGCAATGAACATTCCTTTCTGGGCAGCCCGGTGAGGCAGCAGAGCCCTTGGTGGTTTGCTCATTGCCTGTACACCTCTTTTCTGTGTTGTGGAATGGGACAGCTGCAGGATAACAGCACCCCCCCTGTCTGTGGATTCCCCTGCCCCTCTAAGAGCAATACCCAAGCACTGCCAGCGTGGAGAAACGACTCACACCAGTCCCCCGTGGCACACAGCGTGTTTCCACTCTCACTGTGACACGCCAAGAGCTCACAAGCAGTGCTGTGGGCATGACCTGCATGGTTCTGGGTGCTTTCCATTTGTTCCCCTGCTTAACACACCCATTTCAAATACTCCAGGCACTCCCGCAGCACAACTCAAAAAATAAAAAAGCCCCCAAAAACACCAACATAAAACCAACCCAAACACGAGGTTTAAATCTAAATAAATAAGTAGGTGTAATAGTGAACTTCCCAGAGCAATTGTGTGCAATTGCCTTTGGCAGCAGCAGCCCTCACACACACACCAGCACCTTTGGAAGCCTAATGCTGATGTTATGTTATTTAAATTATTCAGGGCTCGGTTACAGGGAAAACTCAGCAAGTGGAGAGGATAAGCTGTGTTTCAAGTGTAAAATTCCCCAACTGAAGATGAGAAAGACTCTTCTGAGCCTGTTTGATCTGCTGCAGAGCACCGGGCCTGCAAGTTGCACCACAGGAGCGCTCCCCCCCTCCCAATGTCAGCCTGGTGCTACTTAATTGCCACTTAAAAATACACGAGGATAATAAAAATACATGAGGAGACACGAGAGCAGCCCCCAGAGCCTGGAAACAAACCCTTTGCAATGAGGATGTGCCTGGAGGAGACTCGCTGCAGTCAAGCAGAGATGGCTGGACCCCAGGCCACCCTGCACGTCTCTCTGGAAGTGTCCCACCTCCCAAAACAGGGAGAACTGCAGCTGCTTGAGGAATGGGTTACCAGGGGAATGTGCATTAAAACAGGTGAATTTAATTAGGATGATTGCCCTCACTTAATTAATTAATATGATTATTACCCTCAGGTGCTGGGGGAAGCACAGGTGCAAGTGGTTAACGTGCCCCATGGCACCAATGTCACCCAGATCACTCAGAAGCCACCTCACAAACCGGAATAAAGAAAGAAAACAAATTCTAACAAGTGAAAAGCAGTATCTCTTTAAATAAAGCTCAGAGCCTGCCAGGCATTCCAGCATTCTGCAGGACAGCGGTGTATCTCACGGAAACATCCCCCCTGTGCTTTGGTTTTTGTCTATGTTCTAAACACTCTATGAACACATTCTGTACTGGGCCAGGTCTTTCCCTATTCCAAATCAGTCCTTAGCAGCAGGGAAAGTAGAGAGGGAACACTGTACAGCTCCTGTGACTTTCAAAAGGAGGGAACTACTCCAGCCTTTCCTAGACACGCACAGCTGAACAAGGCATTTTCATGGGCTGGGTATTGCAACGATACCCTAGTAGCTGATTTTCCAAATTTAACCAGTTGGAGGTTAACTGGAGACAGACCCTGCACGAAGAGGAGCTCAGGCTCTTTGCAGCAATGGCAGCAAGCGGGCGGCCAGCGGGTCTCCATCAGTCCAGCACGCTGCACCTTCACATGCAGCACAAAACACACAGATTTTAGGACAGGCTCGCTGTGAGGATGCTCAGAGGTTGCAAAAGCCTCACTTGTACACCTCTGTGCAGACCTAAGGGAAAGAACCCACGTGGAATTCTGTACAGCCCGTGCCCACGCTGACGAGCAGTCCAAGTGCCCGGTGCTAATCCGCTCCCAACCCTGCTGCTGTGTGGAGCCACTGGCACAGCTCCTGCTGCCTTTGGCAGGATGGGGTCAGGCCCCGAGGCAGGCAGCTCCAGCCCAAAGGTGCACAGCCCATGGGTCTGCTGCCCATGGGTGCAAAGCTGCCTTCTGCCCCCCCAGAAACATCATTAATATCAGGATTTGGTGGAATTATTATCATTGCTATGATTTGCAGTGTGGCCCAGCTACAGGGAAGATGGAGCAGTCTAAGTGCTGCAGGGCACAGGAAAGGGGCTCATCAAATCTGAAGGCTGCTTGTCCTTATTCCCAGCTCTTACTTGCTGTTCTGCAGCACATCGAAGAGGCTCCTTGTGGGTGGGTTTCAAAGGCAGATGCATCTGTGGGCTCTGGCACAGCCTTACAGGGGCAGCTCTGTCCCAGAGAAATGCCCAGGCGATGCCCCAGCTCGGAATTTTATGGGCTATGATGTCGGGTGAGGACCTTGCATGGGGGAAAGCCAGCTGGTGCCACAGCCCAGCCAGCTTCTGTGCTCTGCAGAGACACAGCACAGCATCAACCACGGACAGGGAAAGGCATTTAAACGGGGGGAAAAAAGGGAAAAAATTAAAAATGAAAAAAAAAATCTGTTTCCCAAGCAGCAGAAATGTTGACAAAGGTGCAGTAGGTGGCAATGGTACCCATGCTGACCTGAGGAGAGCCAGCATGGCTCTGGGGCATGAGGGACCTGATCCCAAATGGCCCAAGGGGAACTTCTGTGAATCTTCTCCATACAGCACCCAACTCCACTGGATCAGGGGCACTGCCTGCCCTTATTAGAGCACGTTCTGCTTGTGCAGGAAGCGTTACTTGGAGTTTGATTTATCACTTCGGAGTTCGATATCCGATTTCATCAAAACAAAGTCTTAGATTAAATTTCCTAGTCTGTAGATTATTTGTACTTTTAGACAGAAACAGTGTGAGCTTTGTGTGGCAATGACAACCTGCTAGTCCCCCCACACAGTGTTTTTACCCTGTTGACTGCAGGCTGACCCAGTCCCGATGGGAGAAGCCCTGGGGCTTAGCACAGCGCCTTCTGAGAGAGCCACAAGGAGCACACGGAAAGCTCGGCGCTGCAGGATGCTGCCAGGGCTGCGAAAGGCCATCAAATATTTGGGATAGATGGAGGAGAGCGCAATGAACACCTCCGCTGTGAACCCCCACGGCTGCCGGAGGGAGCCAGCCCCGAAGCCGGCCCGGGGCTGCCGGAGAAGTGAAGCCGCCTCGGTGGAAGAGTCAGGAGCATCAAAAGCGGGGAAAGAACCCACCGGGCCCCGAGCACAGCCGCTGGCGGCCCCGCTAGATGGCGGTGCCCACCCGCCTGTGCCGCCCCCGGCATCCCGCAGCCCGCCCGCATCCCCCGGAGCCCCGCCGCGACATCCCACGGAAACCTCAGAAAAGGGACGGGCAGGGGTGGCACCGCTTTTAAGGAAAATCCGCGGCATCATCGGTGTCTCCCCCCGCAATGAACGGCAGCAGGTGAATGAATTCCAGAGGCAGGGAATGAAAGCTGTGGGGCCGCTTCGGCTCCCGGCGTGGTTTTTATTGGTACCGTGGCGGGGTCAGCGCGCTGGGAGAGCGAGCAGCATCAGCGGGGAGCTGGGCTGTCCTCGGCGGGGATTCCCGAGGCTGTCCTGCGTGAAGCCTCAGGCACTTCCCCGGGACCCGCAAAGGCTTTGCAGCCGCCGCCGGTGGCACCTGGACCCCGTTTACGCGGCACCGTGGGGCTCCCACGCTCTCCCGTGGGCTCCGGCCTTGCACAGCTCCGGCTTTGGGATATTTTCCCTGCCAGGGACCTGCCGAGCCCCGCACAGCCTCGGTGCCAGGGTGAGGGCAGCCTGCGTGTGTGGAAATGGGTTTCCCGTACATCCCCGGGTGCTGCGATGTCACCACCCCGGTAATACACCCGGACAGAGGGGACCCATCCCTGGCCCCTTCACCTCCTCCTCCTCACCCGCTGCCCTCCCCGCCCCTCCCCGGACTGTGGAAACGCGTGCATCGAAGGGGAAGGGTGGGAGAGGCGGGCGGCGTGGGTGTCCCCCGTGGGTGTCCCCTGCGCGGGGGTCCCGGGCGG